TTTTTTCTCCTGTGTTCTTTGAGTTTACTCTTTCCTTCTTATGAAAGTATTTAAAGCTATGAATCTCCCTCAAAGTGCCACTCTGGTTGCACCCCACAAGTTCTGATATACAGAGTTTTTAATATGATTCAATTCTAGATATTTTACATTCATTATAATATCTGCGCAAATGAAAAACCCCAGTGTGTTTTTGTCAACTTGTGAATGATACGAGGATGCCACTATCACTTTCTATTCAACATCGCACATGAAGCCCTAGCTAGTAGATACTGTCCTGAACCAGGGATTATGAGCGATCCAACTGGAATGCTCCTTAGGTCCAAAGAGAAAAAACAAGATACAGAGAAATCTAACACGCTTCCAGGTAAAAGAATGAGCTGCCTTTCGAGGAAAAACAATCAGAGCTGCAACAGGCTTGTCCTTTGCAACACTGAAAGCAGAAGGCAAAGCGTTAGCACCTACAGCTTCTGTGAGAAAAGAACCAGAAATCCTACACCCAGCTGGGATCCCGTTACAGCCACCACGCTGAGAAGGACATTTTATTTTACATTTCTAAGGAACATTTACAAAACTTGATCATGTACTCAACATACAAAAAGAAAACAAATTCAAAGAGGTATTATTATAAGTCACATTATTTAATCAGAATATCCCCAAGTTAAATAAATAATAAAAAAGTAACTCTCTCCCAAATCAATTAACTACTCATAAATTAAGAAATATACTCCTAGATAACCTTTTGACCAAAGAAAAAAGTGAGAAATTACAGAGTATTTAGATAATATTGAAAAGGAGAATAATTCATATTCAAAGTTATGAGCCATAGAGAAAGTTTTACTCAAAGCAAAATTTATACCCTTAAATGCCTTTATTATTAAACAAAAAAGATGAGAAATAAAAGAACTAAATCTTCCCTTCAGAAGTCTGAAAAATAAAAACAAAAAACGAAAAGAAATGAGGAAGAGGAAATTAATAAATACAGAACCGAAAAGTAATGTTATGAAAAATAAAAGTAATAGAAAGCATAAAAAAATACAAAAGCTAGTTCTTTGAAAAGACCAAAAAAATAAGAAATAAACAAAGACCTTGCAAGCCTGATAAATAATAAAGGATAAAACAAAAATAGGTAAGAAGTTTTCTAATTCAAAAATTAGATATCAGGTATAACCACAGAAAAAGAAGATATTTAAAAAATAAGAGTGTTATATGCCATAATATGGGTACAAATTTTAAATCTTAGAGAAAAATGAATGATTTCCTGTCAAAATATAAATAATCAAAACTGATCTGAGAAAAATTGAAAATTTAAATAGTCAAATTACCACAGAGAACTCTGGAAATATTAAATAACTACCATTGAAAGAGGCACCGGAATCAGAAGAGTTTCATAATTGAATTTTACCTAATCATACTGGGTTCACAGTCAAGTTTTATCTAATTTTTAAAAAACAGATAATCCAATGTTATTAAATCTGTTTATGGGCGGCTGGCCCAGTGGCACAGTGGTTAAGTTCGCACGTTAAGCTTCTCGGCAGCCTGGGCTTTGCCGGTTCGGATCCTGGGTGTGGACATGGCACCGCCTGGCAAAAGCCATACTGTGGCAGGTGTCCCACATATAAAGTAGAGGAAGATGGGTATGGATGCATGTTAGCTCAGGGCCAGTCTTCCTCAGCAAAAAGAGGAGGATTGGCAGTAGTTAGCTCAGGGCTAATCTTCCTCAAAAACAAACAAACAAACAAGAACAAAAAAAAAACCTGTTTATTTATGAAGTTCACTTAATTTTAACAAAAAATTCTAATAAAATTAGTGTCCTCTAATAAAGGAAAATTTATAGACCAATCTAACTTATATACTGAAATGATATATAAAATAATAAATGATGTTGGGTTTATCTCCTGAGAGCAAAGGTGCTTCAGTGTCAGGAAACTTAGTAACATTAATCCATCTCACCAGTTGGTTAAAGGAGAAAAAACATGCTATTATATCAATAGATGCTGAATAGGCATTTAACAAATCCAAAAGCATTTCTAATAAGACATCTAAGTAAAATTGGAATAGAAGAAAAATATTTAATTAAAAATAAAGAATATTTACTAAAAACCAAACATCAAATATAATTCCAAGTGGCAAAACACCAAATGATTTCAATTACAATTAGGAGGCAGACATGGATGCTCACTGTCACCATTATCTTTAACACAGTCTCAGAGGCTCAAAGGAATTTAATAAGACGTGAACAACACAAGAAAACAAAATAGTAGATATAAACATTGGAAAAGAATAAGTGAACTCGTTTTGGGGCATGTTGGGGCTGATGATATAACTGTATAACCAGAAAATCCAAGAGACACCAATAAAAAGCTACAAAATTAATATGAGAATTTTATAAAGTTGATGGATATAAGATAAATATATAAAAATCAACAGCATTTCTCTATCCTATCAACAAATACCAACAAGTGGAAATAGAGAAAATAGTCCATTAACAGCAGATGCAAAATGATACTCATAAATTTTAAAAGAATGGCAACGAAACATACTTTTAAAAAACTACAAAATCATATTAAAGATATAAAACAGCATTTAGAGAAATGAAAAGATATACCATATTCTTGAATGAGAAGACTTCTATAATATTAAGAAGACTTCATATCACTAAAAATGTCAACTCTCCAAAAACTAGTATATAAATATAATGCAATCCCAATTAGAATCCCTGTTGGGATTAGAATTGAATGAAATTATGTTAACGTTTATGTGGAAGAGTAACTGCCTGTGAATATGTAAGATAAGTATAAAGACTGGAGGAGAAAAACTTTACTATGTGTCTATCAGAGCCTTTGGATTAGAGGTAAATAAATGATCTTAAAGTTCGAATCAAAGAGTAACTGCCTCCAGGGGCCGGCCTGGTGGTAGAGTGGTTAGGTTTGTGTGCTCTGCTTCAGCGACCCGAGATTCACGGGTTCAGATCCCAGGCTCGGACCCACACACTGCTCATCAAGCCATGCTGCAGCGGTGTAACACATACAAAATAGAGGAAGATAGGCGTGAATGTTAGCTCAGGGACAACCTTCCTCAAACAAAAAGAGGAGGATTGGCAATGGATGTTATCTCAGGGCGACTCTTCCTCACCAAAATAAATAAGTAAGTAAACTGCCTCCAAATATATATTTAAAAAGTAAGCACAGTGGAGAGAGAAAAACTTACCATGTTTATGGTAATTATTAGCATATTTATGAAAATATGCTACTAAGTCACTATATTTAAATGAATATGATATTAATGGTCCCTCAAGTAAATCAGTGGAACAGGAGAGACAATATAGTAATAGATGCTAGCATATATAAAATTTTAACATATGACAGATAGTAGTTCTAATTAGTGGAATAGGATGGATTATTTAATAAATAATACTGATATAATTGGCTATCCACTGGAAAAGAATAAAACTGGACCCCCATATCTCACCCTATATAAAAAATAAATCCATATGTATTGTTAAATGAAAGAAAACTCAGGAGACTCTATGTACAATCTAGGAATGGAAGAGACTGCTTTAACCAGGACTAACCAGAAACAATAAAAGATAGTAACTTGATCACAGCAAAATGAAAACCTTTGATATGGTGAAGTTTACCATAAAAAGTCAACAGACAAATTATACGTTAGAAAAACATTGAATACAGAAGATAATTACTATACTGTATAAACTGCTCTTAAAAATTATCAAGGAAAATTCCAACAGTGCAACAGAAAAATGGCAAAATCTATGAATAGGTACTCACAGAAGAGAAAATTAAAATATTTGATTTTTAAATTTACATCTGACCTTATGTTGCCTCCAAGTTCATGTGATGGCTCCTGTCTTCTCTTCCAATGCCAGTTTCTCTCCAGACTCCCCTAGTCTGTGGTATGTTCCCATCATTCAAGGCTCCCAAGCCGAGAGGCTCAGAGCCTTCTGTGACTTCCTTCTCTCCTTGGCTGTTCAGCATGTGTTCACCTCCCTAGGCCTGATAGTCCCCGACCCCTGACTCTACCTCAGCCTTGCCATTGTGGCCACGGAGAGGGCCAAGGAGACAGAGTGGGAGGGGCACGAGCCTTGGAGTGCCACCAGGCTTGCTTTCACTCCCTGCCATCTACCAGCTACGTGGGAACAGGCATGTCCTTCCTCGGCCTTGATTTTCTCCTCTCTGATGGGATAATTATACCTGCTTTTCAAGGTCACTGTGAGAACTGACAGAAGGAATTTATACACAGTGCCAGCATGGTGTCTAGTACATATTAGGACCTAAAAAATGTCAGCTCCCTTCCCTACTTGAGTTCCTTACAATTAGTCTAGGGTCTGGGTTACCAGCAAATATATTTTCTAAATGGCTACTTGGCTCCGATTGCCTGACATTTGGAACCCTTCCACTTGTTGCTAATAGCCTAATTTTGCTAAAACACTGCTTGTGTTATATCATTCTTCTGATTACCAATTTTCCATGACTCCTTACTGCCTTTAGGAAAAAGTGCAGACTCCACAGCCTTCCTGCCAAGACACTCATTCCTCTGAGGGAGAAATGAAAAAACTTTGCCCAAGGTGCCCAAAACACAGTTTTTAATCTTTTCATTTGGGAAAATGAAGGCATGCCTACAAATTTGGATTCACCTTATATAACAGTGTATGCCATGTTTTCCTTCATTACTCTAAACCACCATCCACTGAGGTAATGATATACTCAAGTAAATTCAACTTTGTTTGCCTGAAATTTTACTTTGTGCTTGAAACGTGTGTAGTACATTCATTTAAATCTTTCCACTCAAAATGACGGAACAGGAAGGGATGAGAGCAAGCACTGATCACAGACATGTTATTGACATAGTTACTAATAATTAGGCATATATGTAACACAAATAATTGAAACAAGATTTTGTTGTGATTATAAGAGAAATAAAAATTTAGACATTTCTTTATCATGGCTAGTTGCTAACAATGGCAAGAAATAATTCTCTTTTACCCAGGACTTGTTTTTCCAGGTCATGGCATCTGCTTTGCAAGTTCACTTCCTGCTGTGTGGACGTCTGAATCTGCTGAGACCTCAGGATGGCTGCATCTGACAATACTTTCAGATTTTTCATTTCTTCTTCAAGGCATACCTTATTTCTCTGGCACTGTGTCAAACTTTTATTTAGTATCTCTATTTCTGTAAAGAAAATACAAAGTTTACAAATAGACAAGACTGAATCATAAAACATTTTCTCCAAAAAATGATTATTTTCTCTCAGAAAATTAACACTTAAAAGCCAGGATGAGGGGCTGGCCCCGTGGCCAAGTGGTTAAGTTCGCGCGCTCCGCTGCAAGCGGCCCAGTGTTTCGTTGGTTCGAATCCTGGGCGCGGACATGGCACTGCTCATCAAACCACGCTGAGGCAGCGTCCCACATGCCACAACTAGAAGGACCCACAACGAAGAATATATAACTATGTACTGGGGGGCTTTGGCGAGAAAAAGGAAAAAATAAAATCTTTAAAAAAAAAGCCAGGATGACCTTTCTCAGAGTTTAATGACACCTGACAGCTAACCAGAAGGTTAACTTTAAATTTAGTAGTTATTCTGGAAAACAAAGAAGAAAAAGGATTTTACTGCTAAACGGTGCATGAAACATTTTAGTAGTTTTTTTAGCCTTTAAATTGTATTTAATGGCAAATCGGCCTGCTTTTTAAATATTTACATAAATGAATAACATAATATCTGTGTAATGTTCTGGGTTTTATTGAAATTAAACTGTTTTCTTGGCAACGTGATTGATAAAGTCAGTTTAAATGTGCTAGCATGAGCTGGTCGGGCGCATTTCTAGGAGAGTAACTAGGATATGTGCTACACAAATTACGAAGAGAAGTGGTAGGGATGGAGAGGAATAAAAGGATGCAGTGTCTAAAACTAACAAATTTATGGGGAGAAAGTATTAGTTAATATATCTTAATGATTCTAAAAATACTCTGCCTCCTCAAAATGAGGCCAGAATTCATCATAATAATCATTTGTCATTGTTCACTTAGATTAAGTTTAATAAAAATATGCCTCCACAGCATTATGTTGATTTAGATACACTAATCTGTATAATTTCCTGAGAAATGCATGGCACACATCATCCTTCAAAATGATCATTATCAAGCTCTCCCTTCATCAGTCTTGTTAGCACTGTTGCCTTAAACCACTATGAAAATATAAAGACACACACAATAATGATAAAATACTATAAAATTGGTACAACCAAAATTAACGGAATTGATGAGGATGTGATCTATGAAAAAATCTAGACAGTCTGCTTTTCCAGAGAGTTCACTTGGCATTCCCTTCCTTGGTTAGCTCATCCTGGGCCATGTGAGGGGTTTAGCATGTGATTGGGTGTCAAAGGAAGTCGTCTCGGTTGATTGGTCTTGGAGCCACCACAGTAGAAAGAGCAGTCACATGGGCCAGTGAAGACCAGAAGCAGAGATCCATAGACATGGCAGCAGAGGTGATCCGGGCGGTAAATGGTTACAGGAGAAGAAAAGCACTATGCTAGAACAAAGCCCAGGGAACAGGGCAGGCCTTGAGGGATGGCGACTAGTAGGATCAAGAATGTGGTCCCCGGAGAGAAAGCAAAATGTCTTTCCGTGGGTAGAAAGTACGTCTGGAAAACACGTGACATTTAAGACAGACCTAAGGCATGAGCCCAAGGTGTCTGGCACCTTCTTCACTTTCAATTCCTGCTCAAAATGGAAAAGCTGGGCAAATAATTTTATTTTATTTATATTTTTATCCATTTGGCAGGGACCAAATAAGTGGAGTTCTACTATATTCTAATGATTACTTTATATGGGAATTTTTTCCTAGGAATAGCCATATGCTTCTAAAAACTTGTCGATATGCACCCATTTGTGTGCAGTAAACTGCTAACACACTAGTACATAACATTTTTAAAGAATGTAGTTAAACAAATAAGGAGGCTCCAGTTTTACTTCAGGCAAAAAGTCTTCCTGGGTATTTTTGTATCCATAAAGGTGGCTTCTTATGCTGAATAAACGGTATCATATCCTAACCATATCCATCTATGTTTAAGTCAGAATGACACTGCAGAGGAGCACACACGCGCTGTCACCTGTTTTGTCATTTGCCAGAGTGATGCTGCTTGGGTTAGCAGGCTGACTCTGTTGGTGTACACTACTAGCTGTCTCTAAAATAACTACTCATGTCAACATGACTTTCTATCTGACATCAAAAGAATAAGAATCTGCAAAACAAATTCATTTGTGAAATATATTCTAACACATGGAAAAGTACAGCAAGATTTCAAAACTAACAGGGGCTACAATGTTTCTAACATGAAATTAGGAGAGAAAACTCAACAGACGTGAATTCATTCACCTTCGGGAACCTACACAGGCCTGTACCTATGGCATCCTGGTCAAACATTCAATCCTACCTTTGTCATTAATAAACTTCCTATGTGTCAGTCATGTGTCCCAATTTGGGGTTCAGAAGTTATGACCTCTACCAGGTCAACCTATTCCAGTCATTGTACTCACCATGCACTTGCCCTGTTTCAGCAGTGCCCCGTGAGAAAGTCCTCTAACCTCACACCCGGCCTGCCGCAGCTCAGATGCTACTTCTGCCTGGAAGTCTTTTGTGGCCCAATCTAGAAGTGACCTTGATCTTCCTGGAACTCGCACCAATTTACACCATTTCTATGGCACTAATCATATGTATACATAGGATCTACTATTGAGCTGTAAGTCATTTTAGGTGACAGGTAATGTCTTACTCATTTTTCATTCCCCCCATAATTTCTGCCATGCCATCCTCACATTAACAGGGGCTCAATAAATACCAACTAAATGAGTAAAGGCATGACTGAGCGAAGCTTTGAAAGAGTTTCTAATATACCGCTAGCTGAAGCTCCTGAATATGTGTCTATCTTACCTCACCCTTCATTTCAGAGGCAAGCATTTTGAGCCCCAGATAATTTAATTTCAGACTAGGTAAGGCAGTAAAAACACACATCCGAAAGAAGATAAGCAAATAGGACTACCATATCCTTCACCTCATCAATTTTACGAAAAATGTGAACTACATATCTAAGCCTAATTCAGGACATGAATTTTAAAGATTTTATTTTTTTCCTTTTTCTCCCCAAAGCCCCCCAGCACATAGTTGTATATTCTTCGTTGTGGGTCCTTCTAGTTGCGGCATGTGGGACGCGCCTCAGCGTGGTTTGATGAGCAGTGCCATGTCCGCGCCCAGGATTTGAACCAACGAAACACTGGGCCGCCTGCAGCGGAGCGCACGAACCTAACCACTTGGCCACGGGGCCAGCCCCCAGGACATGAATTTTAAAAGTTCAAGAGCTGCTCAGTCAATAGTTATTTTGAGAGTGGAAGCAAATTGATTCTACACTTGTTACCATATTCTGCCTTGGTAAAAAATTTTTTTTTCTGAAATTTCTTTTATTAAAATAGGTATGGGGGGCCAGCCCACTGGCTCAGTGGTTAAGTGTTCACATTCCGCTTTGGCAGCCCGGGGTTCGCCAGTTCAGATCCCGGGTGCAGACATGGCACTGCTTGGCATGCTGTGCTGGGGCAGGCATCCCACATATAAAGTAGAGGAAGATGGGCACGATGTTAGTTCAGGGCCAGTCTTCCTCAGCAAAAGGAGGAAGACTGGCGGCAGATGTTAGCTCAGGGCTAATCTTCCTCAACAAAAAGAAAAAGCTATGGTCTGGTTTAAGAATACCTAATCTATGAACATTTAAACTTAAAAATATTGATTACATAAAGTGATATCCACTCATTTGAAGAGTAGGAAATATTTCACTCATATCTGCTATTCGATATTCAGCATAATTTGTTAGCAAGAAAATATTAAACAATGCCTTTTTCTGGGAATGTTGTTTCTGTTTTGGACTTTGATTTTAAAAACTAAATTAAGGGGCCAGCACGGTGGCATAGTGGTTAAGTTCGCATGCTCCCCTTTGGTGACCCAGGGTTTGCCAGTTCAGATCCTGGGTGCAGACCTATACACCACTCATCAAGCCATGCTGTGGCAGCACCCCACATACAAAGTAGAGGATGATTGGCACAGATCTGAGCTCAGGGCCAATCTTCCTCACCAAAAAAACCAAAAGAACTGACCCTAAATTAATTTCAACATGCAAATCTTTTAAAGTATCTTAGTAATGCTGTGCAATGTGTATGGGATTTACTATATTAGTCTGCTAGGACTATCATAACAAAGTACCACAGAGTGGGTGGTTTAACCAACAGAAATTTATTTCCTCACAGTTCTAAAAGCTAGAAGTCTGACATCAAGCTGTCAGCTGGGCTGGTTTCTTCTGAGGGCCGTGAGGGACGAATCTATTCCAGGCCTCTCTCCTTGGCTCGTAGGTGGCTGTCCTCTCCCTGTGTCTTCACGTCGTCTTCCCTCTGTATGTGTCTGTTTCCAAATTTCCTCTTCTTATAGGAACACCAGTCATCTTGCATTAGAGCCCACCCACTTAAATTTAATTATTTCTTTAAGGACCCTACCTCCAAATACAGGTATATTCTGAGATACTGCGGGTTAGGACTTCAACATACGAATTTTTGGAGACACAACTTGGCTGATAATACTATATTTTAAAATCTTTATTGGCAGGGCTGGCCCCGTGGCCGAGTGGTTAAGTTCGCGTGCTCCGCTGCAGGCGGCCCAGTGTTTCGTTGGTTCGAATCCCGGGCGCGGACATGGCACTGCTCATCAAACCACGCTGAGGCAGCGTCCCACATGCTACAACTAGAAGGACCCACAATGAAGAATATACAACTATGTACTGGGGGTCTTTGGGGAGAAAAAGGAAAAAAATAAAATCTTTAAAAAAAAATCTTTATTGGCATTACATTGTGATTATAAATATGTAAAAATAGATGAGCATGTGGAGAACTAGAACATAAAGTGAAAAAATGAAAACAATTGTGTTAGGATAGAGCAATTAAGAGTTTATCTTATTTCTTATAAAAATGTTCCAAGTTTTGTTTTACACCAACCCTTCAATTGAAGAACTATGCCATGCAGAATCAACTCACGCCATAAGGATATATCCATACAGATCATAAATAAAAGCTGGTATTTTTTTAAAAGTATTTATTGTTTAAAATATTTATAATATTGTCAAAGTTTATAGCTAATA